AAATGTTAAGATAGGGATTACATCAGAGGATCTGGGATAGAGTGGGAGAAAATGGGGAACAAAAGTCAAAATTACATAAGGGGGGAAAAAAAGGCTGGGTTTACTAGTCAGAAAAGACTGGAGGAACCTGAGACTATGATACTCAACCACCCGGCAGGTCTGGAAAGGACTCACCTCATGGCCCAATTTTTAGCTAAGCAGCATAAAGATGTATGGAGTCCTGGTGTAGCGCTGTGGGTTAATGCACTGGACCACAAGATCAGCGGTTCAAGTTCACCAGCCACTCCTCAGAAACCCTAACAGGGTCATTAGGAGTCAGAACTGACTCTAGGCACTTAACAACAATCAGTTTATAGAAGGAGACAACAGCACTAGTAAGGGATACTCACCATGGAATGGTCAATCATCCAAAACCAAAAGGACAAAGGTAAGAAGGGACAGGAAGGGGGAGGAATGCAAACAGGAAGCACAGGGAGGAAGCAGGACGACTGTTGTTGCAAGGAGGGGAATGCAATCATGGAGTGCAGGATTCGTCTGCAAGCCTTCAGTCAATCCACAATAAAACATAAAAAATACAAAGAGCAGATATCAATGAGAGAGAAAACAAAGGAACAAAAAAGAAAAGAAAAAAAGAGTCAAGAAAGGCAGAGTTGTGTTAGTTATGTGCTACTGACTTGGTTCTAAACTCATCGCAACCGACCCTGTATAGGGCTTCCAAGAAGCAGCTGTTGGATTTGAACCACCAGCCTTTCAGTTAGTAGTCCAGTGCTGATTCTGTAACACGCTTGTTAAAGTCTTTGGAAAGAGAGACAAAATAAAACAAACTTCTGCTGACTGATGGCAAGACAGAAAAGAAAAAGCACCAACACTGTGAGGACAGTTGGCAGGTAAAAAGGGAGGCTGGAGAGATGAGACACCTCCTGCCAATCTATTTGCAGACTTAGATTTGAAAACTCCAGCAGACATTGCTCTAGGAAGGCCAGTGAGGATGGCAGGAGACTGGCAGCTTGCAGAGCGACACTTCCTGCTTGTGAACAAAAGAATGAAGCCAAAGTGCCAGGAGTCCTTCCTTATCAGCAGTACTGGAGCCTCTTTCATTCTAAAACTATCATCTAGAAAACCACACAGACCATGTAGCAGAATGGATTTTTTATGAGGCAAACCCCCTTTTACCACCACCCTGAAAGAGAACGTTGCCAGTTTCCCCAGAAGTCCCTCCACATGTCCCATCCTAACTCCAAATCCAAACCTGATGTCATCAAGTCTATTCTGACTCAGTGACCCTACTATTGTTGTTAAGTGCCACTGAGTCGGTTCCGACCCATAGCAACTAGTGAGCTTGAATCACTGACCTTGTAGTTCCAACGGCTTTGCAGTCTGGCGCAGGTACTCACAGCGCCACAGCAGGGTTCCTATAGGAAACTGTAAATCTTGATGGCAGCAGACTGCCTCCCCTCCCCTTTCCCCAGCAGGACAGCTGGTGGGTTCTAAATGCCAAGTTCAGGCACTACAGCAGCAGAGCTCCAATCCCAGCACCCGCCTTCTCCTGAAGGAACCACTATATGCCTTTTCAAAGACAGACTTCCTCCCCTCCCCCCGCTTTATGGTTCCATCACCAAGTGCATCCCCAGACACAACTTTGTCCCCATTGTTATACTCTGATTACTCGCCAATCTTTTTGTCTCGCTGTCCCAGCCTGCTTGACTTCAATGTGAGATTGGCATTTGCGTGTTGCACACTCATGTGTGTTTCGAGAACACTCCTATTGGTCTGCTCTCTGAAGCTCTCCCCTCCCCGACTGCTGTAGCTAGATGCTTTGTCACTCAAAGGCCAACTCTCCCACAAGACTAAAGTAAGTATCATTTTGTGTCATGTTACTAAGAGCCACAAGTCAGTTCCAACTCACAGCAAGCCTGTATAGGGTTTCCAAAGAGTGGCTGTTGGGTCTGAACTAGCAACCGCGCAGTTCAGGTTGACCTTGTGTTCCACTGCATTATCCTGCAGCACCAAAACAGGGCTCCTTTTATGTCACGTGGAAACACAAAAGAGCTGGATTTCAATTTAAACACTGTCTTAGGAGTCATTATACTCAATGCCTGGATCTATAACTTGCTAGTTGTTTAAACAAATAAACAAAATTCAAATTCTACCATTTTGCTTTCACCTATCAGCTGGAAAAATGTTAAGAGACGATTCTCGCTCATCCACTATCTCTCAGATGCTGGGTTAAGCATTGGGCTGCTAACCCCAAGGTCAGTGGCTCAAACCCACCAGCTTCCCTATGGGAGAAAGATGAAACAGGGAGGAAAACGATGAAGACACACAATCTTGGAAACCCTACATAGGGCCGCTATGAGACAGAATCCACTCAACAGCAGTGGGCTTTCTGGTTTGGGCATTATCTCAGATGTCAGCAAGGTATTCCGGCTAGCCTTGTGAGCAACTTAAAACCAACAACCAACAACCCAAGCCCACCACCATCAAGCACTCTACAGTACAGAACAGAACTGCTCTCTAGGGTTTCCTAGACTGCGAATCTTCACAGGGTCAAATGGTCTCATCTTTTTCTCTTGAAGCAACTGGTGATTTTAAACCCCTGATCTGGGTGTTAGCAGCCCGTGAGCTCACCTGTGCACCACCAGGGGTTCTTGTGGGTGGTCCATATGGCCTCTTAACAACTACTCAATTCTTGCTTTTGTAACACCTGAGTTGTTTCTAGTTTAGTCTTTCATCTCTAAAGGAAATTTTCTCATTTCTAATTCTTGAGCTGTCACTTCATTTCACACTGATTGTAATCCTGACATTTGGTTTTTCATGTCTTTTATCATTTCTTAAAGTCTCCTGACTCATTTCTGAAATGATACGCGGTAGTTTTGATCTGCTTTTCCAGCATGCTTTCTCTGTAACAAGACTACTTATTCTCCTCTCCTTCCCTTTCTCCTTTTAACTTTGTAGAGGCTTTAACCATGACACATTCATTGACTTCTGCTGTTTATCTTAGAGGGAGCTTTTCAACTTCTAGAGGGCTGACTTCCGAGGATATTGTGATGGTAAAAAATAATGGCCCTTGGTGTCTGAGGTACCTTAGACCTCCCTATTTTATCCATCTTATCTTCCCTCCCCTTCCTGCTCTCTGTGACTCCACTCCATGCAGTTTCTTCCCCTGAGGAGACGTGTCTGTGGTGGGCAGCCCCTACAGCCTGTTCCCCACACCAACTCCTGCAGAGGCACAATCGCTCCCTGTTTCCCACTGCTCTGCTCTTCTCAAAGCGGCTCCTTCACACTTTCTAGCTGTGTTACTGACAATTTGGGGGTTTTCTTGTTCCCAGTCCATCATTTAATAGAATGCCACGTAATACTGACATGGTCAATGACAATACAGTTAACAATTGCTTTTAAATAATAAAATGACAAATCTAGGATCGAATCCTAAGGCTTCATGGAAAAAGTAAAATTTTAGGGGAATCTGTAACACAGTAAAGGTATAGTTGAGGAGGAATTTAAAAAAAATGTAATACAGTGGTAGAGAAAGTATATACAAGGACACAGTTAGAAATGACCACTCAGATTTTTAGTAGGGCTTTATAATTCAGATTTCTTATATAAGCAGAAGCAGCTGGCAATTGTTCTGACGGGAACAGAAGAACAGCTGAAGAGTCGTGGGCAGGGTAGGGCAGGCCAAGGGCCAGACTTCCTGGGCAGTAAGAATGAGGGACACTAGACGTGCCCACACAATGGGGTGGAGGGAGAGGATGAAAACCATACGGTAGAAATCACACAGCAGTGTCTCTGCACAAGTGGGGAAAGAGAAGACAGGGGAAGCTGAGAGGGCAGCTGCAGGCTAAACTGCCCTTGGTCAGGAAGAAGGCTTTGATGAAGTCTGGTCACGGGAACAACAAGGTCATCTGGCAGGCCACAGACACAAAGCTAAGAGGGGAGCTGTGGTACTGTGAATTTATTCGACATGGCTTTTCTATCCAAAATTTTAACTCTCACCAAATGACTGGGTGGCAATATGCAAATATTGTTATCCCAATAGGTTTAAAGGAGCCATTTCTAAAACAGGAACAGAAGACCCCAAGACCATCAAGAAAAGCTGTAAGTGGCGCATAAGATCCCAACCTGGAGAAGCGGAGGTGGCAGCATGGAGACACAGAGCCGCTGAGGGCTTCCCAGCATACAGCTGAGTGCCTAAGGACAGTGCCTAAATACCCCTCTGGGCATTAACAGACTGGCTAAAGAGGAGCTTTGTAACACTGCCCCAGCAGGGCAGAGGCTGAAGGCCACATGGCTGAGAAGCCCAAGACATGAACGAGGCAGGCGTGGAGTCGTGCAGAGATGTTCCTGACAGGAGAACTACTGCATCCTGTGTTGTTTCTCATGCTGCCTCACACCCTGTTCACTTCTCTAATAAAGCTCATCGTGAGTATTGTCTCTGAGTGTGGTTATTAACAAAGCCACTTGCGAAGCAGAGTATGCTGTGGGAGATGATGGATGCTAAGTGGAGAGACATGTCTGATGACCTCCACTTGATAGGATAAGGCCTAGGGATGATTAGGGTTTGGTTCTCCTTTCCCCTTGTGAAGCCAGAGGAAGTCAGATGTGGCCTTCACACCACTTCTGCAGATTTAAAGATTACTTAGATTTGCAGCTTGAGAGAATAGGGATACAATTAACCGTAAACATAAAAGGAGAATATAGAATATTTACATATCTTTAAGAAGGTGGTTTGCAAAGACCAATAAACCGTGATAATAACTGAGGCTGGGTCAATGGGCTCATGGGAGTTCAGTGTACTGTTTTGTCCATGTTTAAGACTTAATGACAAAGAGTTTACAATAATTCTGAAAAGTGTGGGTTTCTTCATGGTTCCTTCTAATGAAAATTTTCAATGATCACTTTACTCCCAGTAAAACTAACACTTCATAAAAACCCACTGGATAATAGTTAATGCCTCATGAAAAAAGCATAAAAAAGGACAGTATCATTTTGAGTATTACCTTTACTTTTTTCTATATTATCCCCTTTTGCCTCTTCTTCTTTAATGGGGGCACTTATTCTGGGGTTCCTGCTTTGCCCTTGGACCGCATCTGCTAGCAATTCTTCTTGAGAAGTTCGAGTTCTAGGAGCAACGGGAAGTGTCTGTTTCTGTGGAACTTTGACATAAGAGGAAACAAGAATGGCAGAAGTAACTCAGTAACACATTCTAACTCAACAAGAAGTCAGTGCAACACAAATGCCTCCTGGGTTTGCAGAGTTTAACAGTTCACAAATGCACCTCACTTTTTTTTTCTTTACAATACTCCTGAGTGATACCTGATCTATTAGCCATAGATACGTGCAAACAAAGTCTATATATTTTAAGTCACATCAGAAACACATTATAACACATAAGCACTGTGGTGATGTAGGATAAGATCAAGACTGTAAGGTCCGATTGAATTGCATCATCAGTGGTTCAAACCCACCAGTCACTCCTTGTAAACCCTTGTAAATACAGGGTTGCTCTGAGTTGGAACTGACTTAATGGCACTTAACAATGACAAACAGCAAATGCAATGTAGACCCGGCTATATGATCTTTTATCAATTCCAAATTGCAATTTAAGTAATCAAGTGAAAGAAACTACTTCCACGTTCTTTCTTTAAAAACTTGGGAATCTGTACCTAGCATAAAAGCAGGAAATTCCAAAATTATGGTATTATTTCCCATCATTCTAAAGGACTAATATTGCTAATGGACCAGAAAATGGAAGGCAAATTAGGTAAATCCCTGTATCAAGTGCAGGGCTTTCCTTGACAATCACTCTCCTACAGGCCAAAATCCATTAATGTCATGTTCACAGTTAAAAGAAGAAAACAAGGGTAACAGGTAACTACTGGTGTCAGACATCGACAGCTGGCACTTTTCTCTCTCACTTCAAAAAGGGGTTTTCCAAAAGAGGTATAGAACAGAATGGGCCAGCAAAGCAACTGTCAAGGAACATCCATCAGCTCCACAGCAAGACCACCACCACCAAAAAGCTTTTAAAGGAGGTAGTCATCATCAGCGTGTTAACAGAAAGACTGACACATTGGCCACCAGGGGGGGTATAGAGTAGGGAACGTCATGAAAACACGATATGGCCATCATTGGGTTTCATATCAGAATGAAATTCTAGAAGACTGGTTTGTAGCTGATTTCATTTCCTTTGTTTTAAATACATGTAATGCCTTTATCCACCACTTGTCTATTAATTTGTTACCACACTTGGGGTGACTCGCGTGTTGCTGTGATGCTGGAAGCTATGCCACCAATATCTCACCAGCAGAGTTACCTGTGGTAGGAGGGCTTCCAGATTCAGACGAAAAGAAGGTCCTAGTGATCTACTTGCACTCAAAATACTACAGGGTATATAATGTAATCAGTGTCACTAAGCGTAGATGAAGAAATCATTGGATTGGTGTATGCTTTGCTGCATACATTGTCAACAAAATAAAACTGAAATTGAAAGAAAAAAATACAACGGAGAACTATCATTTGCTGATGGGGCACAACTTAAAATGAGAAGAAAACAGCTGCAAACATCCATTAGTAATTGGAACGTATGAAGCATGGCAAATTGGAAGTCATCAAAACTGAAATGGAATGCATAAAGTCCGATATCCCAGGCATTCGTGAACTGCAGTGGACAGATCCTGGTCATTTTTAATCAGACAATGATACAGTCTACTATGTGGAAAATGATGAATTAAAGAGGAATGGCAATGCATTCGTTATCAAACAACACTTCACGATCTACCTTGAAGTACAATGTTGCTGGTGATAATATACTATCCATGCACCTTGACTAGTTAATATTACTATTCAAATTTATGCACAAGCCCACTAATGCCAAAGATGAAGAAATTGAAGATCTTCATCTACTTCTGCCATCTGAAGTTGATCTAAGATGAATTAAGAATTACTAGTGACTGGAATCCAAGAATTCGAAACTAAGAAGGATCAGTCGTTTGGAAATAAAACTTTGGTGACAGAACCAGCACAGCACATTGCCTGACAGGATTCTGCAACATCACTGGCTTGTTCATCGCAAGCATCTGTTTTCAACAGCATACACAGCAACTACATGTGGAAACGGGCCCTGGTGGCACAATGGGTTAAGCACTCAGACATCATGCTTGGTGGTGGGCCCTCAACAAGATGGACTGACACAGTAAATGCAACAATGGACTCAAACATTGCGACCCTTGTGAGGTTGGCACAGGACCGGGCAGTATCTTGTTCTATAGCACACAGGGTCACTATGAGTCTGAACTCAACAGTAACTATCAACAAAGCCTTTCTAGTCTCTTATAAAATTATTCAGTATGTCCATTTAAGACTGGAGTCACTGGCCTTGTGTTTCCTTCATGGGTTTCACTGAAAGGAAAGAAACCAACCTGTTCCTAGGAACTAGTTATAATGAAACAAACTTCCCGAACTTTGGTCACTTAATATTACTCAATTTTGCACCTTAAATTCCTATCTAATGTTGAGTTTTACGCTACTGAAATTAAAATCCTGTCTGAATTAAAACTACCTTTAAAGTTTTTTATGTACTTTATATTCCATACATACTGGAAGAAGAGAGTAACAGGTTTTACATGTTGTTCCAAGAGCTAAAGGCTAGTGGCCATGGAGAAAGTTTCTCAAACTGCTCAAGTCACCTTTTAAAACTACTTTTCCCTGAATCTCACTTTAATCTCGGCATCTGACAGGTGCCTTTATTTACTACTAAACAATCATTCTTTGCTTACTCAAGCCTTAAAGCAGTGCCCCCGACATTTTGTACCCAATGTATACAAATACGAAATTACCTGTGGAATAGTTTGTTGTTTTGGTTACAGATTCTTGAGCTTCAGAAATAGCCTTCAAAATTAGATTCTTATTAGCTTGTTTAGAGGGGGGAAGTGAAGGTCTAAAAGAGTAAAGAAAGGTATTTTTATTAAATTTTAAGTGGCATTCTCTTGAGGTAGCCAACTATTATGCTTTTCCTACAGGTTTCTCTTAGGTTTTGAGCAGACTACCTGTCATTTCTGGATTCCTCATGTAGCGCTGTAGGATAAGCACTGAACTGCAAACCAACATCTCAACAATTCAAACCCACCACCTGCTCTTGGAAAACTCTGTACAGGGTCGCTATGAGTCAGAACTGACTCAATGGCACTTAAAAACAACAACCTGCAGCTTTTAGGAAATGTCAATTAGAGTAGAAATCTTGTAACTTTTTAAAAAAAAATGATTCTGGATCTAGTTTTTTCCCATTGTAGCAACAATTTTTATTATTTTCTGCAATCATCTCCAATTTTAAACAACATAAGTGCTTCGCAAATACCACTGCAAAAGTCTTATAAATTATGAAATTAAACTATGATTTATTTTCACAATTATCCTCTTCCAGAAAGCCAGACGACTGTGTCAGGCAGCTCAAGGCTGACGTACAGACAGACATGAGGACTAATGTACAGACATGTGCAGGTACCTCCTTTCAGGCTTTGCAGGCACCGACACGCTGCTGGACACGCCTCCTGTGCGGGAGCCATAATCGTCATCTTCCTCCTCCTCTTCTCCATCGTGGCTGAATCTTTTTACTTTAATAACTGAACTTACCACAGGCAACTTTCTCTTCCGAAAGTTTTCTTCCTGCAATCAGATAAGATTTAAAAATGCATACCTAGTCTCAGAAAATAACAGTTTCATTATCAATGAATGTTTTTCCTTTCTAAGAAAAGCCATGGGGTATTTCCTGATGGTTGTTGTTTGTTTTTAAATTAAAATGTTTATTTTGCTAAAAGCAAAACTGTTGAAGAAAGCAAGAATATGGAGTTGCTTGATTGCTTAACAATTGCCGTAAAAACATCTAAAATGACCTGAAGCCTCTCCAAACTTGGAATGTTAAGATGTTGTTGTTGTTGTTAAGTGCTGTGGAGTCTGTTCTGACTCACAGCTACCCTGTATAGTGTTTCACCACTATAGGAGTTGCTGGTGAGCTTGAACCACTAACTTTGTGATTCAAACCAACTTTCCAGTCCATCGCATTAACCCACACCACCACACCAGGACTCCTAAATTTATAATACTAAGTTATGAAATACAATTAGGAAGATGAAGTATAATCACGTTACAGAATGTTTTCATAAACTGTCATTTCAACACAGACCTCTCCTACAGCTGACCTGTAGGATAACCTGACATAGGAGAGACTTGGTGTCTTCTCCGCTGGGAACCCAGGTGGTGGTGTGGGTTACGCACTGGGCTGTTAATCACAGGGTCAGCAGGCATGACTCCACCAGTCGGCTCCACGGAAGAAAGATAAGGCTTTCTGATCCCATATTTACAGCCTCAAAAACACTATACAGGGCTACTGTGAGTCAAAGGAGACTCTACAACACTTAGCAACAACATCTCCAACTCTAGCATCACAAGAAGGTCCACAAGATATAAAACCAGCTGTGAAGAGGAAAATCTAACTGGCATACTACGAGGATGAATCAAAAAGTATTACTATAAAACCGCAGAAACCTTTAGTATACAAAACATACCAAAATATGAAGCTACTGTTTCTCATCCTCCCCCTGATCCAGGTCCGTGCCAATCTGAAACAGTAGTGTTCCAATCTCTCCAGTCCCTCCCTAGGAAGTCTGTGCTCTTCACTTACACCACAACAAAACAGCTGTTTTGACAATCTCAAGGGACTCATATCGTTTTCTTTGAATGTTCTTTAAGTTTAGGGAACAAAAATAAGGCTGAAGGGGCAAGGTCAGGGCTGTAAGGTGAATGGAGTAAGGTTTCACAACCAAATGTGCGTAGGACAGGCCTTGCTCCCCTAAAAGAGAAAGCGTGGACACCACCGTGACGGAACACATTTCTTTGGCACAACTTTCCTGGCCTTTTTCTCACCTTTGCAGTTTTCCATTTTCTTAAAGCTTCTTCCTAATAAGCACCCATGGTCATCCTACAACCTTCAAAAAATGTATTGAGATTACCCTTTGGGAGTTCCAAAAAAACAGTTGCCATAACTTGAACTGACTTCTCTGCCTTGAATTAAATTAGCCCAGAGATCCCTTGGAAGCCACTGTTCTGATGGGATCTTTACTGAGAAGGTGCCCTAAAGACACTAAGACAAGTGTATCACCAAGAGAACTTGTCACAGCCATCCATCACTGATGACCAACATGTTTAAACACATCCTGTCTGGAATAAAGAACTATACATGCATGAACTGAAACCCTTGTAGTAAAACGTTTGAACTTTCTATGTTGCATAGATACCAGTTTAAAATAAATCTGCCATAAATACTTAGCCACTTCATGTACATTCTAGTATTAAGAACTGCCATTTTCAGCCTAGCACACAAGACTTTCCCAGCAAGCACAGACCTCAATACTCATTTTTTCTGAGTTGTTCCTGAAGAAAGGACTGTAAGTCTTCTCTAAACTGGTCAGCACTTCCGGTTCGCACGAGCGTCCTGAGTCATACACCCGGCTGTTCTGTATGTCGCCTTGCTTGGCGGCGTGAGTACTGTTTGGCTGCTGTTGAAACGGCAGCCTGCTTAAATGAGCACCACTATCCGCATTCCGACTTGGAGGCGGCCGATAGAGCTCCACAGAAGGGCGCGGAGCAGCACAGCTGAGCGTTACTGTAGGCTTTTTCTGAGATAAGGGATTCTCCTGCACAAAGTTGAGATCCTCATCAATGAGATCATCTGGTTCGGGTTTAATATCAATCACATCTTCAGAAGGTGCCAGATCCCTCAGGGGTTTCACTGTTGACATTAATCGGGTTGCAGCTCCATCATCGTAACTCTGTCTATTAAAAACAAAAGAAAAACATGTTACAACCATTTTAGAGTATTAGTGTCATCTCTTCAAAAAATAGTCACTTGGAGGTGCTATGATGAAGTGCTGAGCTGCTAACTGAAAGGCCAGTGGTTGAAACCCACCAACTGCCCCAAGGGAGATAGCTGTGGCAGTCTGCTTCCATAAAGATTGCAGCCTTGAAAACGCCAGAGAGCAGCTCTACTCTTATAGTGTTGTTAGGAGGCTGAATGGATTCGATGCCAACAGCATGTTTTGTTTTTAATGGAAACTTAATCTCTGGTGAGAAAGCACAAAAGCTACTGAAAAAGAAAATCTCAAAAGTTGTTCAAGAATTGAAGTGCTGGCAATGAAGCGGGAAGCTAAGCCCTACAATGTTCAGTGGACTTCTGTGGACCCAGTTGGGGACCTGGTTGGCAAACAGTATGAAGAGACCTGGGGACTCTTGGGCCCAGAGTCAATGGCATGGCCACGGAGGACTCAAGAGGAGAGTGGAACTACCGGCTGACGGGAAGACAGGACATATGCACAGGAGCGCCCACACTTGCAGATGATACCCACGTGACCTGGACCGGAAGACTGGATGATTGGAGCTCAACCAGGAGAGGAAAGAAGAGGGGAAAAAGAAAGAAAAAAAAAAAAAAGTGAGCTGACATGGTCTGATGAACTTGACCTATACCTATGGAGCAGCGACTCAAAAGAGGGAACAAATCCTCATAGCAAGAAACATTCACACACACACACCCCCACACACACAGAGTGGATGGAGAAGGGCAGCTTGGACATTGGATACTCAAATTGGGAGGGAGGGACTACAAAGGCAAGAAGTGACTGGCTTACAAGCTTTCAAGAGGAAACCTGGTGCTAGGGAGCATGGCGGAAGGCAGAATCTCCAGTAGGTACTATTCAATCTGTCTGGGCGGAGCGGATGAAAGGAGATGCAGATGGGTAACTCGTGATACTGTAGTGAATAATGCTTATCAGGACGGATTATGAGGGTTGGAAATGCAGAGGTGGAAGTTTTGTAACAAGGAAGGGAGTGATTAATTCTCCAGGATAGGAGCAGAGGCCTCTGGGACCATCAACAGAGAAGAGTCGAGGGCGGGACCCTACCCAGAGAAACAGAGATGCCTGAGATAGAGACAGAGATGATGACATGGAGTGATGAAGCGACAGGGGACCTTGGACCCAGAGAGGGAAAGGGACTGTGGCCTGAAAACTAAGGGGAGGAGGAGTAAGTGTAGGGGGCAGGTTTCTGGAATATACCCTTTGGGTGGTTGATGATGCATGGAGGGAAATGGAACCATGGCAGTGAGATGATATATGATGGAATGAATGTAAAACTGAAGTTCCCCCATGTAAACTATCATATAATTCACAATAAAACATTTAAAAAAAAAAAGAATTGAAGTGCTGGCATTGGAAGCTGTCTCCTGGCCCCACTTAGGGAGGCACCAAAGCATTGGCTCCGAAGCTGTTGGGCATTTCCAGTCTGCATGAAGGTGGCGTAGGGATCATGTCTGTTGCTTCTTTCCTCTCTTGGGCCTAACCTGACACCATCCTTACCCGAGTTTATGAGGAAAGGAAAAGCTTTAGGAGGAACAAGTGCCTTTCTACCTATCTTTGACTTAGGGTCCTCCTTTACAACAGACAGGAGTCTGAAACTTATTTCCCCGAGAACCAAGTCTCTCCCTTTCCCATGAGATTCTAAGCTTGGTCTCACCAGCTGCATATTGGAAGTACAGGGACTTAGGCCAAGAGTCGGATTCCTCTCTAGCCTGACTCCTTATGACGCTCCTGGAGACCAAATGGAGGACAGAGCAACTAGCAGCTATCAGAAGGTACTGGTGGAGTCTGGGCTCTGTCCTTGAGCAGGCAGCCAGAGGCCTTAATTACCTAGCTTGCTGAGGAGCCCCTACTTCCAGCTCCTTTCTCAGCCCACTGATTTAGGCATAAGTCAGGAAAAAGCATTTTCTAGGCCTTATAAGAGGACCATGTAATGATTAGGTTATGTTTTGAGCCAACTTAGGATCTTGATACCAAACTTGGAGAAGAACTTTAGAAAAGGAGTCCTGGTGTGACGCTCTGGGTTAATGTGCTGGACTGCAAGGTTGGTTTGAATCACAAGTTTGGTTGTTCAAGCTCACCAGCTACTCCTTGGAAACCTCTACAGGGTCACTATGGGTCAGAACCAACTTGATAGTACAACAACAGAAGCTTAACCAAGCACAACTTACATGTGTGTCCTTTTCATTGCCAATGCATGAGCTATGCAAACCTTGGCAGACCTGGTGTACAACCAAAGTCTCCCAGAATTGTAACTTTGGAAGGCATTGGGAAATCTCTACTAAAGGGAATTCCTTTAGTAGAGTGTCGAGTAGCACTCTACTTTAGTAGCAGTGTCGAGATGCTTAGACATATATCATCAACCACTATGTCTGTTTGGGGAAATGAAACAATTTCAGAAAGTGTCAGCTGAACACGGGGCCACTTACCTCGACATTATCAAGCCCTGAATGATTTGATTCTGGGTTAGTTTTGTGGGAATTGGAAGAATCACCTTTCTGTTGGACAGTGAATGACTCCAGTTTACAATGCCTTCCAGTTTAGCAAAGGATCATTTATTCAGCTACTCCTGAATTCCACTGTGAAATAGGTTTATATGCAACTTCGTTGATATTTAGCAATAACTTAAGGGCAGAAGCTGGCTCTCTGCCGATTCAGAACTTGCTTTTTCTCTGTGAGGACTTGCTTCCCCCTTCCCTTTCTCTCCTCTCACACCCCAAATTTCCTGCTAGTTGGAAATTGAAAACAAAATCCCAATGGTTGGTTAGTAACCTCAGGAAGAATTAAGAACTGATGTCATTTGTTCATCATGGAGAATGAACTTTAAGTCTTTCAAGCTCTTTTGGCAAAGGTTTCCACAAAGCAAAACAGATGTGAAACTCACCCTGGTGTTGGTAACATCAAAAGCGGGAAGTTCCAAGATACCATTCCAGTGACTATCTAATCCAGGTAGAACACTTGACTTTTCATCCCTGAATCCTCTCCTACCCCACATGAATCCTTTGTCTTATTTGTTATGGAAACATATGATTCCTTGGCTTTTGGTGTGATTGTTGTGAGATTTCAGTGGAGACTTGTTTTAAAAGGCTGGTTCATAATTCATTCGAATAGTTGGATACAAACTGTTAAGAGTAAGCTGTACATAAATTATTGCTCAAAATATATTATACAAATTTATTTTTAAACATTTTTGGATGTAAATGTTACTTCAAGTGGCTTACATGGAGAATTTCCAACTTGGGTGTTAAAGTAAACCCTTATCTCCCCCCCACCACACACACACACACACAGGGCTCTGCTTTATAATTTTGTAATAAAGTTTCAATACAGAAAAAAAAAAAAAAAAATTCACTTGGAGAAAATTTTAATGGAAATGCCTGGGTACTCCCTAAGGGTATTTCATTAAAAATTACTTTGAAACTAATTTTTTTTTTTTAACTCAGGTTTACTACATTTGAAGTTAAGTCAAACTTTATCCAGGTCATCTCCATTTATTGTTTTATATTCATAAAATCTCATGACTGTCCCACTGTTTCCAAAAGTTGCTGAAAAGAGCAATTTCACGGTACAAAAATGAATAAGGTGAATGAGATGCACATAGGACTCCTACCTGACATGAGTGGCTTTCTGCTCCTGTGAACTTGTGGAGACTCTAGGATCGCTCTTTTCAGCTCTGGTGCGAGAAACAGCAAGCGGGGGCACTGCAGCTTCGTGCCTTCTCTCCTCTCCTCGGCCAAAGCTGCCCTTGTTTAAAGGCACGTTACTCTCAAAGATGTTGGTGTCCGATGACTTCAGGCTAGAGGGTTCTGTCAAGAAAGGAACCTGATTTTTTTTCCCCCATCTAGCTTTATTCCTCTCAACTATCCCCCCTTCCTCATCATCAATTCAAATCAATACAAGTTTCTTGCAGAAAATAAAATTTAAAAAAAACAACACATACAATGAAAACCCACCACTTATCTTAAATGGTGAATTTTCTGGGCAAAGTTATACACACAGATTTCTTCTTAAAAAAGACATTTATCTTGTGCATGTATAATCTCATGTTATGCTTCTACCTTGTTATTCTTAACAACTAAATATTAGCATATATTTAAAATGGTAATTTTAATTCAATTTATCATTAAAGTTTTACATAATTTCCAATGATAAAATCCTGAAACACCCTTGAAGCTAAATCTTTGCCCACCTCTATAATTATTTCTGGTATGGCGCTGTAGGAGCAGTACCACAAAGTTGGCAGTTCAAATCCACCATTTGCTCTTGGGAAACCCTATACAGGGTCACTATGTGTCAGAACCAACTTGATGGCACTCAACAACATATTATTTCCTTCACTGTATGTTACTGTTAAGTGCTGTTGAGCTGGCTCCCATTTGCAGCAACCCTACGTAGGGTTTCCCAAAGCAAATGGTGAATCTGAACTGCTGAACTAGCAGTTAGAAGTCTAGTAATTATCCTACAAGCGCCAACCCTCCCTTAAATGATCTATGAGCTATACTAAATGTACTGCTCTCCAACGCATAAAAAAAAATATGCTTTCTAAAATATCCAAATGAACCACTTTCAATTTTTTTCTTTTTCCAAAGCAATGTAGATGCTGACTTCAGAAACAAAACAAATTATATGTTACAATAAGGTAAAAACAGATGTTTTTACAAATCTTACCAGTTGTAACAGAGCGAAGTTTATCTAAAACACCATGAAGCCTAAAAGAAAAAGCAAAATATTAAAGCTTCCCTTAATCAAGAGACATTTTATTTCCACTGCAACTCTGCATTTGATGCCATTGCAAAACCCAATATTTGGGTAAATATTGATAAAATTACATGACATTTAATGGATACAGTATTAATTTCCCAAATTTCACAATAATTAAAAAAAGTTTTACATGAGTACTGCAGAAACCAATCAAAGATTAGATTCAGTTTTCTTCACTATCTTCAACATCTAGTCTCTGCAAACACAAGGCTAAAGATACCATCTGTCCATAGCATCTTAGCCTACAAAGAATTCAACTTGGATTCAAAAGCACAAATCCTCAGTGCAGCATACAGTAAGATAGAGTATTATCAATATGTTACATAAATTATTATAACTGCGTAAGTAGAGTTTAAATTTATTTAACAACATACATGGTTTCTTGGATAAGTTCATTGTCAGAGGTGAAGAAGGTCTACCTAATCCAGAAACATTGTAGACCACTTTGCTGTGACTATTGTTTTCAATATGAATGCTGTAAGTATAGGTGACAATCTTGCTACAGCATCAGCTTTATAACAGATTGTCACAGTACTTACATAGGAAGCAAATTTCCTTTCCAGTCCTTCCAAGAAGTCATGTTTCCTAAGATACTAGAGAGATCTCTCTGCAACACAGTTTTACACAGAACCCGATTGCATGCCACTGTCCCCTGCTGCTGTTGTTAAGTGCCACTGAGTCGATTCCAACCCACAGCGACCCTGTATAGGGCTTCCAAGGAGTGGCTGGTGAACTTGAACCACCGACCTTGCAGTTCAAATGACTTTGCAGTCAGATGGATTAGCCCACAACGCCACACCAGGACTCCTAATTACTGTAGGGTGTCCAAGAACCAGGATATTCTGGGGCTGGTGTTAGAAACTTAACTAAGTTAACACTTCACTTAGAAAGAGTTGCCAAAATAGAGACAATAACTATTGGTTGTATCAGTATTACTTCAAAGAACTTAATTTCAAAAATGAAACGCTGATTTATAAATTGAGATTCCATTACTTAGGTACATTTGTATCAAGTATTCCATCAAGTTATCTGAGATAGGATCTACTACATCAGTTTCATCTTAGATTGCTGTTGTTGTTAAGTGCTGAGTCAGTTCCGACTCATAGCGACCCTGTATAGGGCTTCCAAGGAGCAGCTGGTGGATTTGAACCACTGACCTTGTGGTTCAAACCAACCCTGTGGTCTAGTGCTTATCCTACAGCACCAAACCAGGACTCCCATCTTGGCTGTTATTAGTAAGTGCTGTCGAGTTGGTTCCGACTCATAGCAACCCTGTGTAGGGTTTTCAAGGAACAGCTGGTGGGTCTGAACTGCCAGCTTTGTGGTTCATAGTCCAGTGCTGATCCTACAGCGCCACACCAGGAGTCCCCATGTGACTAGTGGGACTCAAATTAAACCCAAAATGAACCAAGAGTCATGTCAGAAAAAATGTAAAATGTGACAACTGCTGAAGACTTAGCAAAACAAAGTACCCGGGACACTGTGTACCAAACAGACTGGGTCAGCCATGCTGACGTAGTGTGTGGATCCACACCTCTGAGAAGTACTGTGTTCACAACATTCTTCAGACAGAAAATTCTCAATGGAATTTTTCTAAAGACTTCATGAGAGCTGGGAAGCATGTAAGTGACCCGCTGGGGCCAAATCACTTTGGAGAGAAACTTCAGTTTAAACACAAGAAGCTTCAGCCATAGCTTTCGGGCCTCCTGTTCAGAGAGAATCGATTCATGTGCAGTGGGTTTCGTTTTGGTATTCTTTCCCCAAGTTTCTTGTAACTCTAAACTGAAGCAGGCCATTTTGGTCACTCAGCTGTCCTTCCTCACTATTAGTGTAGTCATGTGTTCCTTGTCGGAGGTTCTGTGAGTACTTTCTGCTCCCTCTTGGCCACATCATGACCCTCCCTCACTACCTCAGACCTTCAAGGACCAGGGCCAGGGTCTTTTAAATGGCATTTAATACTTTCATCAGTAATTCTGAATAAAGGTCACTGTGGTTTGAAAAACACATTAACTTGCAACTGAAAACAAAGGTGCTTATTTCAAAATCCCAAACTTTAAAGATAATTCAGACTTAGGTTTGTCAAAAAAAGGTAAGTGACAATTTTAAGCTTAAAAAACACGAAACATTTTTAAACAAAAATTTTTATTCTGTCAAGAATTTGTTGAAGAAAGCAAAATAAGAAGCCAACCCAGTTCAAACAACATATGTAATTGGTTTGGGAAGAGGAAAAGAAATCATGAAATGCAGAAGTTTATAAAATACACATAATAATTAGAGCTAACAGACTAAGGACTTGCTATGTGTACTTGTATTAGCTCATTTAATCCTCACAACAACCCTAAATAGGAGGTGATCTACTATCCCCATTTTTCAGATAGAGAAACTGACGCAGAGCCAGAATTAACTATGGCCGTCTGGTTCCATCACTCACAACCTGGTTGCTCACGCTGAATTTCACTGGCCTGTCAATGATTTTTCCAGACTGACAGAATGCCTACTCTGACTTGTCCCAAATTTTGGTCTGAGGCATAGAGATTCAGAAACATACCATACGGTGAATCGAATTGTGTTGTTCCCTAGAAACAGGGACAGGTCCTCTGTCATTTGGTCCTGACTTTTCTTGTTGGCCACCATCACCATAATGTAATCAGGAAGTTCTTCATCTATTTAAAAGGAAGAGTATACCAAAACGTTTTTATGGTTTCCTCAACATTTGCTTCTACTTAAAGTTGACGTGCACAAAAATACAGATGCAGCTCACGAAGAATCACCCCCTCAGCTCTACTGAAATTCTGTAGGACAAGAAAGAATGCACAGCCTTGTCTTGCTACTCTTCATTCCCTAAGTATTTCAATGACTAGAAGAATGGGAATTTAGTTTAACTAGAAAGCACTTAGAACTAGACATTCTAAACTACTGCCCCAAACCTGAGTGTATTCACTTCAGTGAAAGGAATCTTCCTAACACTCAGTGATTTCACAGACACTTTCAGACTGTGCTTGGACAGTTCCCACAAAGAATCATTCAAATCTGCTTACTTAAAAGCTTTCAAAAATGATAGCAATTTCACGAGAAAATATTTATTCTTTACTAAGGCAGATTTCAATGATTCATGGTGACAAACCTGCAGCAACACCAAATTCAAAAACCCAGCCCAAACCTTTATATTATTTCAAGAACTCAATCTCAAGACTTATCGAATCATCTCAACTCAATTTATTGGTTTACCTTCATACCCTCCTACAGAGAGGTATGAAGAAGGAAGCCTAGGAACCAAAACAAAAACAAAATACAGACAAAGCAAGAAACCCACTACAGTATAAACATAAGTAAAATCTATTATCAGGACCCTAATCCCCACCAAAAAACCCCTCCCTTTAGATTTCTTTAATACCTTAAATACTCATAATATGTCTATGTAGGCAGAAAGGTTCCCTTCAGAAGTAGTATCAGATATTTGTTTGAGAAGCAACATCAAAAATCCAGTTCTAGAAGAAAGCAAATATACTACACTAGCCCAGTCAATGAAAGAGAGAGAGGAAGCAGTGTATCAGATGGTAACCACCACTATGAAGTGAGAAGACAGCAGCCAATAAGTACCCAACCATTTACTCTTCTCCTTGTCCATGATTAAATGGCTCCCAATACTTCCTGGTGTTTTTGGTATATTAGCTGGGTAGCTAAATTATGCTGGGACTTCCTGAGTACCTACTATGTGCTACCACGTAATCCAAAAAAGTCAACAGACACAAAATTGGGTACTTTAACAGCCTGGCCCATTTTTCGCCCTCATGTCGGCTGTAAAACAGACAGACTGTGCTGTCACTCTGTATGAGTCTGCATTTTCTACAATATAAAAAGGGATCAGTGGTTACCCAGGTACCTAGCAGGGACAAGGAAGGGTCGGAAGGACAGCATTACAAAGGAGTGCCAGAAACTTTTCAGGGTGATGAACACGTTCATATATAATCTCAAGGATATATACATGTCAAAACATACTACAATGTAGAAGACTTCAAATATGTGCCATTTCATGCATATCACTTATAGCTCAGTAGAGCTGTCAGAAGTTAACAGGTTATTTTCTCAGTAGATGCGAGCTTTTGGTGACACAAACAGTTCCACACTTGGCTACTAGCTAAAAGCTTGGCAGTTCAAATCGATCCAGAGGTACCTCAAAAGAAACGTCCAGCAACCTACTCCCACAGGCCACAGCCACTGAAAACTCAAAGCATAGTTCTACTCTGAAACACATGGGGTCGCCAGGAGTTGGAATCAACTCAACAGTAACACTGCTGTGGTAGGTTTGGGGTTTTCTCAGTTGATACGTACTGGGAAACAAGAACGTTGAAGAAAAAGTCAAAATATAATCATACAGTCCTACAGAATGCTGAAGGATTTCTGAAATTAATACAGTGAAAGGAAAGGTTCCCTCAGGCTCCAACTTCACACACACAAACAAGACCTTCCATCTCTAGAGGGTGGCTCACCTTTGATCCCATCCAATAGCTTGACAACAGACATTCAAGTGATTACTGAAGGACTGTTTTCATAACCCTAAGGGCTCTCCGCACTCTTTTTAGCATAAAGAAAGGCATTAAAAAGTCATTTTCTACAGGAAAATACATAAATACTGCACATGTGCTCCAAAAACTTTGCGGGGGGGGGGGGGGG